AAAAAAAAAAAAAAAAAAAAAAAAAAAAAAAAAAAAAAAGAAGAGTCTCTAAAGTGCCTAAGTATGATCCTTACACACCATTTCTGGGTTTGAATAGCTACTTCAGAACTCATCATCCTTTTCATTTATTTGGAAATGTGATAAATTGAACCAAACCCAGAAGTTAACATCAGGATCTTCCCTAGTCACCCAGAAAAGCATCTCCTACTTATTCTCAATGCACTAAATAAACCTTTGTTTAATTGTTTTGGTTCAGTGATCTCTCAGAGTTTTAGTGAAGAACCATTAAGCTTTTGATGAAAGGTGATTGAACTCAGAGGTAACCCATTCCATCCCATATGAGCATACTAAAGAGTCTTAAAAAATTAGTCATTTGGAGATGTGGAATCTGGTACATCCTTAGTGTGCTTAGACTCAAGGAAACTTAAAAATTGCATAAGAAATAACACTTGCCTTGGATATGTGCACTTTATAGCATCTTATAAAACTACAAACTCTGGTCACCCTGGCTTGATCGTATAGAAACTTTGCACAAAAATCTCCTTAATAGCTCCTAAAAGTATTTTGGAGGAGTATAGGCAAGGTAACAATGTACACTTCACCACTCAATGTCTAAGGTGCTTCTCTAGAGAAGGTAGAACCCAGATTCATAAAACACACAGATTTTTGCAAAGGACCTTACATCTCAGACGTAGCTGTGGGTACCATTACATCTCTTGTGCTGTCCTAGGTCTTATCCATGGCCAAGTCTATTTGTTTATTTTACATAGCTTATTAGCAACATTTGACATAGTTTGCCACTACCATCCTCTTGGGAAAAAGCAAAACAAAACAAAGCAAAACACCACTTTGGCTTCTGTGACCCTTCACTTTCCTATATAGAATAGTGATTATTAGCTCAGGTCCTGGAGTGAAGTTGATCAGGGCCAAAATCTTGGTTGCACCATTTACAAACTGGGAGGCCATAGGCAAAGAATTTCCTTCTCCTGAACATCCATTGCTTCACGTATACATTAAAGAAAAAGATAATACCTTCCTCTCGTAATTGTGGTGATAGCTAATAAAATGCTTAGTACACTCTGGCATATATTAAGTATCCAATAAATATTAGCTATTTATGTTATAATTATTCTTTTTCTATTACCTCTCCCTTCTCAGTTCTCTCTCTGTTTTTATTTCATTTTAGCATTTCTTTGTATGTATTTATGGGGTACATTGTGCTGTTTCAATACATGCATATGCTGTACAATGATTCACTTAGAATAGAGAACATAGGGCCGGCCCAGTGGCGCACTGGATAAGTGCGCCGCTTGGGAAGCACGGCGGCGCTCCCGCCCGAGGGTTCAGATCCCACATACAGACCGGTTCCCGCTCACTGGCTGAGCGAGGCGCGGGAGCAACACCGAGGGTTGCGATCCCGTTGCCGGTCCCCGGTCCGGTACGGGGGCAACACTGAGGGTTGCGATCCGTTGCCGGACACGGAAAAAGACAAAAAGACAAAAAAAAAAATAGAGAACATAGCTTTGTACACATTAATCCACCAATTCCCCTCCTCTTCCCTACCCCCTTGTAGATTGCTGTTCCTTTTTTTGCTATATTAAAAGTGAGTGATCTTTAGGGTGTGCCGTGGACCTTCACGGCTTCTCAGTCAATGGACTCTCCCTGGGTGGTTACTTCCACTCCTTTTATTTCACTGACTACTCCCTGATCTATACAATACTGAGATCATCAGCTTCCTCCAATACTTCTTTTCTCTTTTTCATGGAATGTCACCACCATGTATTTGGGCAAGTTAGAAACTTGGCAAAATGCTCAACACCTCTCTCTTTCTCACCACTTACCCTCTTATTCAGCCATAGCAAGCTTTGTCTATTCACTTCCTACTTAAGTCAGTAATCCTACTTTTTTCTGTCCCATTGGCCACAGTTCTACAACAGGCCATCATCGTCTCTTGCCTAGTAACTACACCAATTTATATTATATCCTTGAAATCACCCCTTATCTCCTTTTAATTCATTTTTCACACAGTATCCAGTGTCATATCTGAAAAGAGATAAAAATCTGATCACAAAAGTCCCATGTGTAACACCTGTATTCAATGACACTCTTCTCTTAGGATAATGTCCTTGTTCCTGTTGTTAGCAATTATAAAACAAAGCAGACAAATAATTTCTCATATTAAAGTTATGTAAAACATGATAATGTTGATGTACCCACTATTTTAATATTTTTAGAGGATTGAACAATGTTCTTTTGGCTTTTGGGTTGTTCTTGAATAAGGTTTTGAGGCATTCACTTAAACGCTTTTGTCAAATTATGTCAAAGTGTTTACAATATAGGAAGCTGTTTCACTGACTCACCCTTAACTGAACTCATTTTTTTTCCCTCTAGAGAACTGAGTCAATAATACCTATCTATTTGAAACGGATATAATTTTACATTTTTTATTTGATGACAGATAAAAAATGAACCTTAAATATTATGTCACTAGCACATATATAAAATGATTAAATTAACAAATTGTGTTATTTTGCATTTGTTTACTTTTTCCATCAGGTAATTTCTGAATTAAAAAAAATGTCTTTTTATATTTTCAGTACCTTTGTTCTCCTAAGTTAAATAAATAATTTTGGAAAATACCATGAAACGTGATTCAGAACTGGTGAATTGAGAATTTGCAAAATTGTTTATGTTGGCGGTATGCTCATTTGTGTTACTATTGTACAATAATAGCAAAGAAACTAGTGATTGGCTGCTTCCATTTGCTGGACCTATTTTGAGCACTGCTTGGTGCTAGGCAGTATATGGAGCACTGGGACCACAGAGATGAAACACAGATAGTTCTGATCTCAAGGACCACATGGTGTACTGTAGGCACCAAACATGACCATAAATTATGAACTATTTCTGCTTGTAGAATAAGAAATCTTTGTCTCTTCTTTCTCATATGCCATTTGATTCCAGAAACCCGTCCCCTTTGCCCCTATGCCACATGAACCATATAAATCCATCTCCAAGGAAGTGGTAATGGCTATAAGTGTGAGCGCTGTGGCCAGAAATATTCGAGTGCAAATCCCAGCTCTATTAGTTAGTTACTAGCTCTCGTAGTTAACTATTGCTGTGTAACAAACCACCCCAACATATTGTATCTTAAAACAGCAATTATTTTTCATTGTTCAGGTGCATGTGATTGGCTTGTAACATGACTGATCTAGGCTGGGCTCAGCTGGGTCATCTGCTTTAAGCTGGGGCTGTTCTGTTTCTCATTTCAGGTCTGTGGGTTCCTGGGTAGGTCTGTCCCATACTTGCTCATTCTGGGGAATAGGCCAAACGAACAGCAGCTATTTAGGAGAAACACTTCCCACTTTCCATGGTGGAAGTGCATTTGGGTTGGAACTGGCATGCTTCAATTCCACACACACGTTATTGGCCAAAGCAAATCACATGATCAAGCCCAAAGTCAAGGGGTAGGAAAACACACTTTGTACATGACAGGGTAAGGGTATGAATGCAGGGTAGTGTAAAGTATTGGGGTCAACAATCTAATCTACCACACTAGTTGTGTGATGTTGAACAAGTCATTCAACACTTTTAGGCTTCTATTTTTTTATTTGTAAAATGGAGGTAATGATTGAATCTGTATCTGAATAGAATCTGAATAGAATTGTTACAAGGATTAAATAGGATAACATATGCAAAGTTCTTAGAATAAGTGTCTGAACATAGTAAGGATACAATATATTTTAGCAAATGATGAGGGTTGAGTCCTAACACTAGACACAAGTTTTGGGGGTGACCCAAGAGACCAGACTTATAATTAAAGCAGTTATTCTTGATCTACAGTAAACCGTCTACTCTCTAATGTGTCTGTCCCCTACCAAGGGTATTAATGCAACATTGTAAGGGTCCAGATGTAAACCATCTGCTCTTATTCTCCTTAGGCATGTTTAACACAGAATACCAGGGCCTATTACCCATCCTCATTTTTCCAACTAGTGGTATTGTGGAGCCTGATTCATCAGTGGTTATCAAAGTGGATTTCTGCGCAGACCAGCCAGGAATTGTAAATGAAGTGGCAAAGTGAGTGTATGGTTCTTAATTCTAATGTAGATCCCAATACTCTCCTGTTTCAATCTTCAGATGTGCCTTGTGTTAGCTCCTTTGTTGTTAAATTCAGCATTCATTTACTGAGTCTCTACTATATGCCAAGCACTAGGGTAGGGTCTCAGAAATGGGAAGAGATAGAGGATGGCGTATGGGTACACATATGGGAGACCCTATTTGGATTTCATGGGGGTGAGGGAATGGACCAGGGAAGGGTTTCATCAACAAGTGGATATTTGAATCAAACACTAATAGGTGAGTAGGAATTAGCCAGGCAAAGAGCAGTCATGTGAAGAGCGGTGGTGTGAGTGTGTGTGTGTGTGTGTGTGTGTGTGTGTGTGTGTGTGTGTGTGTGTAGGGGAGGTGGATGTTGGTAATGGGAGTGGGTTAGAGAAATGATTTCAAGCAGAGCGAGTTGAAGTCTTGAAATCCTAGAGACAAAAAAGACAGTATTTACACACTGAGGGATCTGAGGCAATGTAAAGTCAAAGAGATGGAGGTAGGGAGTGATGTGAGATGTGACCAGAGAAACAGAATAGTGCAGGGTTCAGTAAAGGGCCTTGTAGGCAAGCAAGCATTTTTTATGCTGTATGTCTCAGTTCATTAGTGCAATGTGCAATCAATATAATGGGTTACCACCAGTATTCAAAAAAATGAAATAGAAAATATCAGAATGCGTATAGGAAGGATAAATGCTGTTTTGTAAAACTTCGTATAATTGTGTGTCTGTGTGTGTGTATGCGTGTGTTAATTACATTTCTAACTGAAAGTCACAGTTATAAATATTTGAGAAGCTCTTGCGAGCCCTAATGGAAGCTTGGGTTTTATTATGAAGACTGAGAAGTCTCCAGAAGGTTTTTAAATGGGAGTGTCTTCATTAATGTGTACTTTAGAAAGGTCATGCTAGTGGCAGTGTGCAAAATATTTCAGGGGATACAAATGTGGATTGGGCAGACTAGCTAGAAACTATAATAGTAAAGCAAGAGGAAATTGATAAATGCCTGAGTTAAGGTACAAGCTGGGAGGATGGAAAGAAGTATGCAGATTGTAGGTACGTTGTAGATTTGACTGAAGGTGACTGATTGTAGAAAGGGAAGGTAAAAGGAGGGAGAAGTCTATGGGTGAAGTTCTTCAGATCAGTTTTAGTATGTTGGAACTGATTTGATTTTCAGAATTCTGGTGGAGCTGGTTAGGGCTTTTTACATTTGTCTTAATTCCCAGAGAGAAATTTGGTCTAAATGTATTGGGTTGGGTGGTCATCAGTGTATAAGTGGTAGATGAAATATGAAAGTGTTGAGAATAACTCTGAGAAGAAAGGTACAGTGTGAAAAGTAAGAGGGAAACAACACTACTGATGGAGTTTACAAAAAATCTAAGTCTTGGAAGAATGAGAAGGTAGGGCCTGAGTGAATTAGAAGGCAAACCAGAAAAGTATAGCAAGGAAGCTAAGGGAGGAGAGATGCGCAAACAGATGCTGTCAACGATGCCCAATGTTACAGGACATAATGTAAAATAAGGACTTAGGTAATGGTTGTGGAATAGTGAATTATTTGTGGTATTTGATAAGGTCTAGATTGAAAAGATCACGTTTATGCCAGAGAGGGATAAATGCAGGAGAGCAATTCCAAAAGAGAATTGAAATTAGTCTGGAAAGTGAAGTTTTATGGGGAAATAGTCATTTCAGCAAAGAAGTGGGTTTTTACTGAGATACTTTAGATTTTAGGGAATCAAATTGTTAGGATGGGAATGAGATTGGCTGTTGGAGGACAGGATGAGTTAGAAAAGAATCTCATATTCTAGAACTAGAAAGTACCATGCAAATCATCTAACTCTAGTATTTATGAAATAATTGGTGGTATGGATATGCCGTGGAGTTCTTTCTAGAGTCAGTTCTTGAGATTGTTTTCCAACTTTGTTGTTTCCTGTAGACAATTAATTAAGTTGCACATATACCATTCCACTATGTATATTCAGACAGGCAGAAGGATTTGCTAATGTTTAGTATGTGTATGAAAAGAACTGCTCTTAGACTGTTAAATTTAAATTATAATTTGTCTTTATAAAATGTTTCTTTCTCCAAATGTTTAGGAGAAAAATAAAGTATATAAATTTCTAATTAAGATATATGTGTATTGCATATTTAATTATCTTGTAGAGTGACTTTGCAAGGTCGTCCTGACATACTCTTGAGTATCAAAGCTCATGTGGTTGAACAAATTATTGAATTGTTAAACATGAGGAGTGACAAAAAGTTGGAATGCATACGCTTTGGTTCTGTTTTCTTTGGAGCATCAAAAATCAAACATGCACGTCTATACAATAATAGCCCACAACCCATAAATTGGGTAGCCATAATACAAGATGATTCCATTGGAGAAGAATTGGTAAGTTAATGGTACAACAGAAGAATATCAGGTATTATGATCTGAAACAGATTATTTTAAATCTACTAATAACCAACAAGCTGTTGAATTATCCTAAATATGTCTTAACCTGGGCAAATAGATTTGTTTTCATATATATCCAAGGCTAACCTCCAAAAAGTCAATACGTTAATCTAATATTTACCTTAACATATTTTTGAAGTAAACCAGACAAGTGCTTCTTATAGATGACTAATTGTGGGGATTTCTGTTCTCATCAATTTTTCAATACTTCTTTAAATGTTATGATGTGCCTTGATCAAATTTATGTATACATGTTACTTTAACTTTTTTATTCTCTATTTCCTAGATTCTGAAATTTCAATATTTATTTTATGACTTCTTAAAATATTTTTGGTTTGTGTTTTGCCTTAATACTCATTTATTTCTGATTTTATATTACAGGGTACAAATATTCGACTAAGAACTGATATTGCTTTAAATAATCTCACCTACATAAGTAAAATAAAGAACATAGATATTGCTGCTTTTATCTCCTGTGTTCCTAATGAAGGGACTTTACTGCCTTATCAAAAGATTGTAATTGCGTTTTGTTTCAGCCCAAAGTAAGCAAAAATTAATTCCATTGTAATGTTAAGCATTAATGGAATATTAATATTAATGGAATATTAACCATACTTCAATCAGATTGGTTTAAATATTGTCAAAGCAAAACCTGCCAGAAGACACAAATCAGATTTTTCTTGTTATGGTTACAGATATATCTAACATGAATAATATTGCTTCCAATAATTCTAAACATTGTTCTAAATACTTCATGTTAAATCAGCAATTTCTCCAGACCTTGTGGAAATGAGGTGGCAGAAGTGCAAGTTTTGGGTTGTTTGGGATTATAGCTCTAATCTGATTTGTTGTTCCTACAGGTAGATGCATGCAGTATGCTCTAGGTGCCTCCAAACAGGATGCAGTGCTCCTGGCAGGGCAAAATCCTTGCTGACTGTCATGAGTACTAAACTTATAGCACCTGCTTGGATAAATCACACTTGTTTGCTGAAATTCATGCAGACTTTTAGCACTTAGTCCAATGTATAGTTTTTACAAATCCATGTACTTGGTTTTGTCATTTAATTTGAAAGTATTTTTGGAAATGCTGTTTTAAATATATAGTAGCAATTGCAGGGACACCTTGGTAGGTTGCAGTGTATGTCAATGCCTGCTCCAATTGCAAGTATGTTTACCCTTGTTTGTGAGAGGGTGATGTTTATTGTACTTCTTTTTGTGGCAATAGGGTCGCCTGGTGATATCAATTGCCTGTTGAAGACCAAGTTGTGTTTTAATTTAAGGTGGTTAATAAATCAAGCAATTGTTTTATTTGTACAATCTCTTTATATAATTGCCTTATAAATGATACCTTTATAAAGGAAGGTATTTTGGGGGGGGAGGTGAATCTATAAAATTCTATTTAATACACAACCTTTGAAATTCCAAATATTCTTTTTCATGGCACCATGTTAACTTCATTTGAGAGTCTAGCATGGACTCATATGTATGAATATGATTTGAAGCCTTAGTTAAATGTGTTTTGAACGCACGATTTCTATTGCTGTTTATTAATACATGTTAGCTTTTTGTGAATGTATTTGCGTATCCATTGCTAGAAGAGGTGACCTCTAGGTAAGGCTGGTAAAGATAGCCAATAAGAGGGCCTATGATGTAACCCACCTCTGTCTTTGGTCCTACTTCTATTCTTCCCATCCTTCCTTTCCTTTTCTCCTCTAACAAGATTCACTGTTACCAAACCTTGTTCTCCAAATTACTTGTCCACTAACAAGAAAGTGGCTGGCAATACGCACTTAGTTCACTGGGGGAGACAGATACATTAACAGAGGTTTTTGATTATACCCAAGGGTAAGATGGACTATTGTAAAGAATTGACCAGAGTTCTTAGCCAGCAATGGATTCTGCCTGGAAAGAAAATCCTTTACAGAGAAAGTGGCATTTGAGCTAGACCTTGATGACTTAGTATATTTAAATTACTCTTGTCTTGCAAATGCTGTCATGAGCTCATTTTTTCTGAGCTTTACATTCTGCAGCCTTCTTTTGGCAAATCTCTCTCTGTTCAGTAATTTTGGAAAATGGATCACAGTTATATTTTTATTTGTTAACGTTCATTTGCATGCATAGATTTAAAGATTGGGTTGATATTTCCTTTTGAGAGATGATAATATTTATCACCTTTGCTTTAAAAATAACAGATTGTGATTTTTTTTTTGCAGGCTGATGGTTGATGATGAAAAGGATATTGAACCCTCACACAGGCAGGATTATGCTGTCTTTTTGAGATTTGAGTCTGTAGGAAGTAAAGATGGATTTTTGAGAGATGATAATTACAAAACCATCAAAAGTAAGTGTGAAATTAACAAAATCATCAAATATTTTAGCAGTTTAGATAGTTTAGAAGTTTGCACAACACTGTTCGTAGAGGCGATTTAATAAAAATATATAATTGTTAGAGAGAACAAAAATACAAACATACATAAGAGACCTTAAAGTATCATCTGTGGCATGTTAAGAATGAAGTCAGCCCAAGTCATTTACATAATAATTTTCCAGGTTAGAATTTAGATGACATCACAAATTTAAAATGACATTAAATAAACATGATGATCTAGAGTTTAAGGAATGAAAAAAAAAAAGAAAGAAAGAAACAATGTTTGCGTAGGTTTTCTCCTAGAAATTGGGATGGGAACAAATGACCCATATCAATTTTACCAGACCTTCATCTCTCTTAGAATCTATATACAGAAGCTGAAGGACAAGACCTAGAGATCTACTAAATAGGGTGTAGCACCCTGTTACAGGATACCGATAAGTGCATTTGTTTTGCAGTTCACATGTCAAGTTGCATTATACTTTTTACATTCTCAGGTAATATTGGGTTGGTTGCAGTGAGGGAAAAAAATGAAAGAGGACTTGGAGTTCAGCTTGGCAAGACAGATCAGAGAGAAAATAAAGACATAGGTAATGTAGAAATCAAATTCAGAAAAATAAGCAATGCCAAGAAGGAGTTAGTTCATCCTGGATGCTTAGGAAAATCAAGAGACTAGCAGATTTACATGTTAGTACAAGTAATATTCAACAGGATTGGATGTAACCGTGTTCTTAGGACATAAATGTATTGGTGTTACTACTTACATTATGGTTTGTGATACTGAGCTATGTCTGCTGATGATAGACAGAATATTTGTGTTAAACTTGCAGATTAACCTAATTTTGAATAGTTAGAGACAGAGATGCTAGGTTTGCCTTAAAGGTAATTTAGAGTCTAGTATTGACTAACAAGAACATTAGTGAAGAAATAAAAACTTTTGGGATGTTCTAGTTACACTGCCTTCTCTGCAAAACTGTTCTTTCACTCAATTAGAGCCTATAATCCATAGTTTCTATCTTATTTCTAGTGTCGCAAAGATTTCATGTTTATATTCTTGCCCAGCATATATTCTATTGTCCATTATTTTAATCCCTCATTTCCATGTACATTTAAATCTCTTGGCCCATCTCCCATACTTACTGAGTGGAACAACCTCTAATAGTATTAAATTCAACTTTTAGTCTACTCTGGGTTTGCATGTGAAAAGCTGATTGTACTGGAGAAAAATACAAAGTCATGCTGAAAGGTTTCACTTCACTTTGTTTTTATAACCCCAACCCCCAAGTGGGTTCTTTAAGATTTTTGACATTCCTACTGCATTCCCTCATTCATTTCATTTCTCACAATCTGAGATGATGATCATACACTTTTTATTCTTCCCTCTATCCTCCAATCCTTCCTCCTTCATTTTCACTCTAAGCTTGTAAACACATTGAGTGGCTTAGTAGACATTTCCTCTAGGATATCTACCAGGCATCTCAAATTTAACATGTCCAGAACATAACTCCTGGTTTCCCCACAACCTGCCCCTCCTGTAATCTTTCCAGTCACAAGAAATGGCGATTCCATCATTTCAGTTGCTCAAGCCAAAAACTTAGTGTCATCTTTTGCCACCTGTTCACTTTCTTATCCTGCATCTGATCTATCAGCAAATCTTGTTAACTCTACCCTCAAAAATGTATCTAAAATCTGACCATTTATCACTATTCTTCTATTACTCTTCCCCAGCCATATTTGGTTTCTTAGGATTTTTTTAATATGCCAAGCAAGTTCCTACCTTGGAGTGTTGGTACTTGCTGGTTTCTCTGCCTGGAATACACTTTTCCTGGATTTTCACATGATTTTCTTCCACACTCCCTTTATATATTTGCTATAATGCATCCCTATGAGGGAGGCTTTTTATGGGCATCTCTACATAAAACAGCATCCCCAAGACCCTGTACTCTCTCTGTATTGCCCTTCTTTTAACATTAACTTGTAGCAGTTATCCTCTATGAAATGCTGTATTTACTTATATGGTTGTTACCGTCAATATCACCTCCCTAGAATGTAAAGCCCATGAGAGCAGAAACACTCTTTCTTTTATTCACTGCTATATGCCCAAGGCCTACAAGAATACATGGTACAGAGAAGGCACTCAATAATTTTGTTGAATGAAAAGACTGAATGAGCTACCCATTTCTCATATGTTCGTTCAGATGATACTATTTGGACTAAGCAAATATATTCTCGATTCCTCAACAGCTATTGTTGATTTTACAGGTGATCGATTTCAGAAAGTGGAATTAGCATTGACAGGCTCAGGATTTCCTGTTGTATTAAAGTTTGATCCAGGAAAAGTCCTTAATTTTAAACCTTGTTTTATGGGTGAACATTCAGACATTTCGTGTATTATACAAAATCAATCCAAATCACTTCCTGTGACATACCATTTTCAAAATACTACAAATTTTAAAATTTATCCTGAAAAGGGCCAAATTGATAAAGGATGTATCCAGGTAAGATGATTTTTCTTTAGTTTACATTGCTTCAAACGTTTTAAGGTCTGCTAAAATGCTATGCAAAGGATCAAAAACATCTGTTCTACCAATGTTTATAAATTGTATCTCTTCTGTAGCCTAGTTATAAATAATTTTGCATTGGTATTCATACAGAATCCATAATTATATGTTAAGTGCCTGTAATGTGCCAGGGAAAACACTTGATGCTGTAGGGAATTTTATTTATTTTTTATTGATTATGCATATTCATAGGGTGCAAAGCTGACTGTCACCACTTGTGCCCAAGATGTGATGGCCAGATCAATACTATCAGCATGCCATTACCACAGATTGTGATTATTCCCCATGTCCCCCACCCAATTAGTCCCCTACCTCCCTCCCACTCTCGCCATCTCCTAGCTCACTTCTCAACATTAGGTATGCTCTGTGCATCTGCAAGTCCAACACACCAATGTGGTCTTTCTTTCCTTCCTTTTTTCTCTCAACTCCCACGTATGAAGGAGGACATGTGCTCTTTTTCCCTCTGTGCCTGGCTTATTTCATTCAACATAATATTCTCCAAGCTCATCCATGTTGCTGTGAATGGCAGAAATTCATTCCTTTTTATGGCAGAGTAGTATTCCATGGTGTATAAATACTGTATTTTCCTTATCCAGTTGTCCATCGATGGACATTTAGGTTGGTTCCATATCTTGGCGACTGTAAATAGAGCTACAATGAACATGGGAGTGCAGGTATCCCTTTGACGTTATGATCTCCACTTCTTTGAGCATATACCTAGAAGTGGGATTGCTGTATTTTATGGAAGATCTGCCTGTAGTTGTTTGAAAAACCTCCATACTGTTTTCCATAGTGGTTGTACTAATTTACACTCTTCACCAACAGTGTAGGAATTTTCCTTTCTCTCCACATCCTCACCAGCATTTGCTATTCTCTGTCTTTTTGATTATAGCCAGTCTAGTTGGGTTGAGGTGGTATCTCAATGTGGTTTTAATTTGCATTTCCCTCATGATTAGTGATGTTGAGCATTTTCTTAAGTGCTTGTTGGCCATTTGCATGTCTTCCTTAGAAAAATGTTTACTCAGCTCCTTTGCCCATTTTTTAATTGTGTTATTTATTTTATTTTATTTTATTTTTTACTGTGTAATTCCTTGAGTTCCTTGTATAATCTGGATGTTAATCCCTTGTTGGATGTATACTTTGCAAAATTTTTCTCTCACTCTGTAGGTTGTTGTTTCACTCTGTTGATTGTTTCCTTTGCTGTACAGAAGTATTTTAGTTTGATATAATCCCATTTGTTTATTTTTTCTTTTGTTGCTTGTGCTTTTGAGTTTTTATTCATGAAGTATTTGCCCAGTCCTGGAGTGTTTCCCCTACGTTTTCTAATTTTATAATTTCAGGTCTTATATTTAAATCTTTAATCCGTTTTGAGTTGGTTTTGGAGTATGATGAGAGGTACAGGTCCAGTTTCATTCTTCTACATGTGGATGTCCAATTTTCCCAGCACCATTTATTGAACAGGCAGTCTTTTCCCCAATTTATGTTCTTGATGTTCTTGTTACTTTGTTAAGGATCAGTTGGCTGTACATATGTGGGTAGATTTCTGGGTTATCTATTCTGTTCCATTGATCTGAGTATTTGTTTTTATTCCAGTACCATGCTGTTTTGGTTACAATAGCTTTACAATATAATTTGAAGTCAGATAGTATTATGCCTCAGGCTTTTTTTCTCTCTCAGGACTGCTTTGGCTATTCAGGGTCTTTTGTTTTTCCATATGAATGTTAGCATTGTTTTTTCTATTTCTGTGAAGAATGTCATTGGTATTTTGATGGGGATTGCATTGAATCTGTAGATTGCTTTGGATAGAATGGACATTTTCACAATGTTAATTCTTCCAATCCAAGAGCATGGTATGTCTTTACACCTTTTTTGTGTCCTCTTCAATTATTTTCAATAGTGCTTTGTAGTTCTTACTGTAGAGATCTTTCACCTCCTTGGTGAAATTGATTCCTTGGTATTTTATTTTCTTGGCAACTATTGCAAATGGGCTTGCTTTATTGATTTCATTTTCTGCTAGTTCAATATTGGAGTATAAGGTGTTACTGATTTTTGGGTGTTGATTTTGTATCCTGCAACATTCCTGAAATTTGTTAATCAGCTCTGATAGAGTCTCTAGGGTTTTATATATATAAGATCATACTGTCTTCAAACAGGGACAGTTGGACTTCATCTTTTCCAATTTGGAGGCCCTTTATTTCTTTCTCTTGCCTTATTGCACTGGCTAGTACTTTCAATTCTATGCTAAATAGGAGTAGTGAGAATGGGCATCCTAGTCTTCTTCCTGTTCTTAAGGTAAAAGCTTTTAGCTTTTTCCCATTCTGGATGACTTTGTCATATATGTCTTTTATTGTGTTGAGATGATTTCCTTCTATACATAATTTGCTGAGAGTCCTTATGAAGAGATTTTGAATTTTGTTGAATGCTTTTTCTGCGTCTATTGAGATAATCATGTTTTTTGTCCCTGGCTTCATTGATGTGATGTATCACATTTATCAACTTTTGTATGTTGAACCATATTTGCATACCTGGGATGAGTCCCACTTGATCATAGTATATAGTTTAATTTTTTTGATGTGTTGCTGTATTTTGGTTGCTAAATTTTGTTGAGGATTTTTACATCAATCTTCATTAAGGATATTGGCCTATAATTTTCTTTTTTTGTTGTATCTTTGTCAGGTTTTGGTGTCAGGGTGATGCTGGCCTCATAGAGCGAATTTGGGAGAATGGGTTCTGTTTCAATTCTTTGGAATAGTTTGAGGAGAATTGGTACTAATTCCATTTTAATGGTTTGACAGTATTTAGGTGGAAAGCCATCTGGTCCTTGGCTTTTTTTTTTGTTGAAAGATTGCTGATTACTGCTTCAGTCTCATTGCTTGTTATTGGTCTGGTCACGTTTCCTATTTCTTCTTGGTTCAGTCTGGGTAGTTTGTGTGTGTCCAGAAATTTATACATTTCCTCCAGGTTTTTGTATTTGTTGGTGTACACATTTTTATAACAGTCTCTAATGAGTCTTTGTTTTTCTGTGGTATTGTTTGTTATGTCTCCCCTTTCATTTCTAATTTGTGTTATTTGGGTCTTCTCTCTTCTTCTTCTTTTTTTTTTGTTAGCCTAGCTAATGGTTTTTCTATTTTATTTATCTTTAAAAAAAATCTGACTTTTTGTTTTGTTGATCGTTTGTATCAATTTTTGGGTCTCTATTTCATTTAGTTCTGCTCTCCAATGCTAAATTTGAATTACATGACCAAATGTAGCTGGAAGAAAGACTGGGAAACCTATCTTCATTGCATGCACTTCTAAACAAAATTAGGGTTTTGTCAATGAGGAAGAAAGTGCAAATGGTTATATGGGTGGGCAACCAAGTCTTCATCATGAGGAGTTGTAAAAGAGAGCTTTGTCTCCACATAGCACAAAATAATCTAATATTTCATCAATCGGGCTTTATCAGCATAATGAGCCCTTTTAATTAAAAAATACTTACCAATGGTATACATCACATTTTTCTTAAAGCTCTCTTTAATGT